ACGAGAATTCAGTGCTGGCGGCAACATTCTAACCGACTTTCGAAGTTGTCTTAGCGCTGAATCTCTTGAAACACTTGTTTGCAACCAAGATTGGCTCTTGGCAAGACGTCGAGCTCAAGAGTCAACGTACCAACTCGAATCGGAGCATTACATGAATGCAACAACAGATGGAAGTCCGAGTTCTGAAGAATAAGTTATAATTTTTTTTTGTTAATGTAAATATGTAATTAGTTTTTTTTAGCTGAGCGATATATAAGCTCCTTCGAGGGTTTCTTTACGGTTCTTTACCTCGTCGCTTTTTGTGAACCGTCAGGATATTAAATGTGGTTGTTCTTCAGTTAGTGTATTATTCATTTAAAATATTTAAATAACAACTACATTTTTAAATAACAACTACATTCCGGTACTTCATTCTTTCCTTAAACAATTGCAAATTTAAAATTTTATACTTAAAAATTTTAAAAAAAGCAAAAAAAAAAATAGGGGGGGGGCGAAACCGGCCGGTCCGGTACCGGAACCGGTACCGGCCGGCGTAGGTGGAATAATGTCCAGTAATGATGGACATTTACTTGAATAATGACTACTTCATAATGACCAAAGGTCCTACATTGGGAAATAAAAACATATGGTCCTATATTGGGAAAGTAATTATGTTTTAGTCCTATTTAAGTAAATTTCTCAATATTTTATTGATGTAAAACTGTTACAGGAATTAGGCTTCAAAAACCTTGTCTACTGGAATCAGGCATGTAACCAAGGACTACTTTGGGATATTGCAAGCAAGAAAGATATTTTGTGGGTTAAATGGATCCATAATAGGTACCTGAAGTGTGATACCATATGGAACCTACAACCAAAGGCAGGTATATGCTACTATTTGAGGAAGATTTTGAATAATAGAAATCTATTTGCTGGAATGGGGTGTAATGGGGATTATTCTAGTCAGAAAGGGTATGATTGGCTCATGGGGGATTGCAGTATGTTTAGGGCATATCAAACAGTATGGAATAAGCTCTCTATTCCTAAACATCAATTCTTCCAATGGTTGTGTTGGAAAAACAGAGTACCTACGAAAGACAGATTGAACAAATATATGGAGATGGACACAACCTGTGTGTTGTGTGAAAGTGGGATTGAAGATCAGCAGCATTTATTCTATGAGTGTGCTTATACAAAATGT